TACCCAAATGTTATTTAATTATGCTACAATTGCTTCCAACATTATTTAGTGTAATGTCTTTTATGTCCTTCCCCCAAAGGCTTCTCTTTTATCTATAATACCCATAAATTTTTCTTTACAGTCCATGGCATCATTAATTTTAATGTTATCCCTCTAAGATTTTTATTTTTTTAATGTGCTGCACACTAGTTGTTAAACTCTTTGGTTCTACTGTTCACATCTCCGGTGTTTGTGTTATTCCTTACTTGCCATACAAGATTACTTAGCAGGTGAGGAGGCAGTCGTTCTGCTCATGTATTTGAATACCGACCAGCATAGTGTTAATGTTTATTTTGTCTTTGTACATATTTCTGCTGACCATCTGCCATATACTTGTTCACCTGTACTTTCTTCCTTCTGCATACTAAACTCAAACTCAGAGGTTATATTAGTTTCCTAATATTTTCCCTCAGGTCTGTATTTAAGACATTTATGATTTCATATGTAAAAATTGAGAATGACTTGGAAACATTTTCTAAAAAGAAAAAAAGAAAAAAAAGAGCTCTGTTATTCAACTAATATTCTTATCAAGAAACATGGAAACAATGAAATGTTGATCTTGTGACTGCGCAGCATCACTTCAATACCACTGGTACACTACACAGGTATTTTTACATCCCAGGGGATTCTCTAACTTGAGTAAAAAGGCACCTCTTTAATGTATTTTTTCATCTACACTAAACTTCATAAATACAGGAAGACCATCCACTTATCAGGGTGCCATCATTCTTCAATGGAGTATACTCAGATCTCCCAAATTACTATTTCATTAACTGTCTTATTTTCCCCCGTCTCATAAAAGCAGTTTCAGCATGTTCAGAGAGCTCAGGATTCTACTTTTTCCTAATAAACCCTCTCCTAGCTCTGCTATCACCTTCTTGTTCTTCTTTCCTGAAAAGCTGGTATCCCTGCATTGCTATGGCCCGAAGGCAAGGAGAATCTCCTTGAACTGGTAATTTCGTTCCCTTTTGCCCATGAGCTAAGCCTAAACTTCATACGGGTGGCAGCTAGTCTGCTACCTAGTAATGTAAGCAATTATTTAATCAACACGATGGGTTTGAAGTAATTTGGATCCAGAAATAGTAATAATCTGGATTGAAATAATGTTTCTTGTCCAAAACATCATCATATGTTTCTTGTGCTATTGTCACTATTAAAAAAAAAAAAAAAAAAAACAAAAAAAAACTAATAGGTCACAAAAGAGTTTATGAAAATATACAAGATACAGCCTGCAAATGTCCTTTTTTCTTTTTTTTTTTTTTTCTTTACTTTTCTACACCTGTTCTGTTATTCGGTAAAAATGTATCTGAGTAAAGTACTTTTTATCTTAGATTTCCCTTATACTGGCCCTCCCATTCTACACCATAGCACTCTCATTTTTCTACATGAAGGGAGAGTTTTCAGATGGATTTCTGAGGCTGAGCTTTTGCCTTTCCACAGAAAGGAAGGCAAAATACAGAAAGGAAGGAGAGAAGATAAAGATCCAATTAATTCATGCTGAGTGAACAGGCAAACAGGTACTGTTGGGCAGGAATCACCCCTCAAAAAAAGGCATATATTCTTTTGATGACAATTAATTATACTTTTTAAAATATAAGTTCCAGCACTCGAAACAACAGGCAAGAACATTTCATTTCAAAGAAAGGAGAACACAGCAACATTTCCTGTATAAGAGAATACACTTGAGAGAAAGCACATCTATGAATCATAGTAGAAAGCTAACTAACCCTGCAGCAGATTCTTCTAGCCAGCCGGATACATAAAAGACAGAGTTTGAAGGATTTTTGCATTTACTCAAGCTAAAACATTCATGAGCCTGCAATATTAACAGAATGCCACACTGATTCCCAGAGACAGGGCCCTGGTGCTCAGCCAGGACGCTCCATTTCCAGCTGACATCTCATTACACCTTCATTGTATTTGCACATCATTTGGGGCACATCACGGCTCAACTACTGAGTTGATCGAGTATCCATTGTATGGTAATATGTATTTTACAGCTATGTTTTGGGGAAGAAGATGGATTTTGTACACTACATGGCTTCTAAACAGTTCCTATTAAGTGTATAAGGAGAGTAAATTCTAGAAAACAAAAGAGTATGCCAGGGGGACAAGGCGACAAGGCTAACTTCTAAACCTCAGCAGCAGAAGAGGAACTCTGAGTTCACATTGGTAAACATAAAATAATAATAATAATTAATAATAATAATAATAACATAACAACAACAACAACAATAAAATTAAATTTAATAAGAGAGAGAGAGAGGGAGAGAAAGGAGAGATCCTAAAAAGTCTTCTCATCCATTAGCCTGGAAAGTCCATTCCTGTGGGGTCAGTATAAGGAAAAAAGTATTTCTTAGCAAAATTCCTCCTGCTGAAGGACAACAGAAAAATCAAGGGCTTCAACATACATTTATCAATTAAAATTGTGCTGTTTTATTCTTTCTCTATTCTTCATTCTCCCTTTAGTATTTAAACCAGCCCAGAAGTTCTCATTACAAGTCATACAAGTAGTTATTAGACCTCAATACCCACTGGGCAGAATGTTGTCAATCAAGTGTGTTCTCCAAATCAAAAAAGGCATTGAATAAAATAAGTAGATGCATACTTCAGACAAAAGCTTTCTAAAAGTTCTGCTAGAGGTGACTTTAAAAATCACCACTTTCTTTGTGTCACAGTATTTATTCTAAAGTAACGCTACTTTTGGAATAGAAGTGTTTGAGGCACCTTTCTTCATACAGAGTGTGTTACCCAATGACCATAGGCATCCATGGGCAGTCTACAAAGAGCACAGCAGGAATTACTCAGTTACCTTTTTATTTTAAGTGGAGGCTATATGCACAAATTTGCTCCAATACTTATCAGGCTTGTCTTAAATTGATTGGGTGTACTTTTCATCTTGGCTTGTCTTTATATAGAAAAATTGCACTTTAACTGCATTCACAAGAAGAGTTCTTTACTTGTTTTTATTCCAATGTTTTTCAAGAATAATCAATATGTGAACAAGTTGAAATAGGCCAGGGAAATTGAAATTTAATCCCATATAAGTACATATAGTGAGCTTGCTGGATGGCTAACAGCAGATTGAAATTCTGTTGCTGCTGAAACAAGTTGCAAAATGATTTCATTATGGGAAAAAGCAGTTGGTATTTTCTTAATTATTAATTTTATCAGAAAGTACTCCATTTTCCAGATAACAAACCCCACAAGTATAGACATTCCGTATCTGAGTGCCAAGATAAAATGGACTTCAAATTGTATCTACAAGTGAACAAGATAGCTACATCATTCTAGTTAAATAAACTGTTATGTTCCAATACACACTGTTTCACAGTGTTAAAATTACACAAGTATTTCATCGTCTTTTAATTATACAGCCTGCTAATTGGCAGGATACCTGTAAAGCAGTTACATGTATGTTTTTCAAGCCTGATTATCATTTTTGACCTTTCCCACCGTATGAACTTTAAACTCATCAGATCAAAACTGCAAACTCAGCTTCAGTTAAGCCCATGGATACTTACTTACTCTGCTGTTTGGGTGCCACAGTGCAAGGCAACATGGAACAGCTATTTTGGTGTCTGTTTACTGGATACATAATTACATGCAATAAGTACATGCATCTTTCCATGCTTCTCAGAAAACCACCTTTCACACTTTATTATCACTTATTAAAGCCTACTGCTGGCTTGATTGAAGTGTGTAGGCTGCACTATACTTACCTGCAAAGAAAGCACCTTCATTTGGCTCTTTAAGTTACTTCAGAAACTCTCCCTGTTATTACGTGCCTCCTTTTCATATTATGAATTTCACACACTTAACTGCTTTTGTGTTTCACTTAAAATGTTGTTTATTGGTGGTGCAAAAGTAAAGCTTGACTAGTAATGCCTGCCTTTTTCTTTTCATGCTTTCCCTCATGGGATGCAATTCAAGTGACATTATGGATGTGGATTATTCATTTCTGAAAATCTTTTAAGTATGTCTCAACCAAGCAGATTCTTACATTTCCTACCTGTAGAGGGAGGGGGAGAATCATATTATAGAGTTCCCATTCTTTCATAAATATGATTTAGTAACAGAATATACATAATCTTATCTTTCTCAACAGATAGTGTGAAGGTAAAAAAATCTATCTAGCTGGAATATTGTGCAGAGTCAAAATCTCTTTTTTGTACCACAGCATCATTTCTCTTGCCTTTTTCAAATGTAAGAATATTCTTACAAACTGAAGACTGGCACAGCTCAAAAGTCTTATGGCAAATGTGTAAAAAAGTAAAGTAGAGGAAACAGAACACCTGTGTGGTTCATTTTATCTCACATAAAATAAAAAATGCATGGATTTGGGATACATTGTTTCACTATTGCTTACATGTACATAGTGCCGGCAATATTTTAACTTCTTTAATAGTCATTTACCTTCCCTGCCTTCAGAAACACATAATCAAAGAAGAGAAACTCTGCAAGAAAATTATAATCCATGGGCTGCCAATTCAGTAACTATGTGATCTCCTTTGTCCACCTAATGTTTATAAAAAGAGCATCTTTCTTTAATTATATTTTAAAAGTATGAAGCGGATCAGTTCACTACAACAAAAAGCTTATTAGAGTTTAAGAAGATGTGGCAACATAGTTCTCATCTACTATCAACTATTTCCTTCAGATTTCCTCTTTGGCTAAAATATTTTTCACCGCAAAAGAGTAAGTGGACAATCAACACTCCACTGTTGTTATTGGCATTATGATCACTGGAATTGTGTTTGTGTTGTTTTTGGTTTTGTTTTTGTTTTTTTCCCAATTTGGCCTGTGTTAGATAAACAGCCTGAAAGGGAGACTGTTAGACAATCTACTTTTTATCCTCTGGTAGATTCTCTGTAGTGAATGTGATCAGGTGACAGGACATACATATCCATAAACTCAAAGATATGTACATAAACCCAAAACGATGACACTCAACATGGTGACTTACCACATAGTACGTTGTGCTCATAAATTATCCGAATTTCTAGAAGCTTCAGTTGTATGCATGCTACTGAATTCTGATTGCCTGTTTTGAAAATTAGAATACTTTGATTTCCGTGCCAGTTTTGTAAGGAAATAAATTACACAGATGTACCACCAACCTGTCATTTCTCATCTCCTCCCTCCTAACTTTTGAATGAATTGGCTAATTTTGATCAAATCTGACAAAAGGACCTGGTCTCAAAGATATCAAGTTCCAACAAGTTTCCATGAGAACTGACAGCTGAGTAGGAGACAAAGACTGACATGAGTCTTCCCAGTGAGGAAAATATTGCTGTGTAAGCTCAGCAATTATCTATTATGCTTGACATACCAGCAAGCTGATCACTGTGTATGTATCAGCCACACAATCTGCTTACATGTAATTCAGAAGCAGTCACAGGTCTTCTGCCTCTCACCCAGCCACAAGCAAGGTATCAGATGAGTAGTTTGGACATGCATTTGGGAATCAGTGGAGAAGCTAGATTTTAGCAATGAAAGGTGAATGAAAAAGGGAGCTGTAGCTTGAGTGCACATATTGGAAACCAGGCTTACCTTTATCAGCTGTAATAGGATCGTTTTATAAAGTTTGTAAAGAGTCTGTAATCATTAATCCACTATAATCCAAAACAATAAAAACCAGGAAAACTCAACAAATGTCAGATTTGCTGTGATTTAACAATGTTGCAAACAAAACAGCAGTGCCAGTGTTAATTCAAGTGGGCCAGTATCCCTGAGTGCTCTTCAATCTCTCAGCACAACCACCACTTGACCCAGGAGGCCTGGTCTAATCATGCCCTTTTTAGCTGGGTCTACACCTGCTGGATCAGTAATTACACAGTTGGCATAGCCCAGGTTATTAACACCTCAATAACTGAACTTTTAAAGAAGAGATTCTTGGTATGCTGTGGAAGTGCTCTTACCTTCAGGCCATTGTCTGCATGATCTTTGGTCCACATTGAGCTGAGAGAATCCTAGTGATCCCTGATCTTTGCTTCTGTTCTGTTCTACTGATGTCAAACCCTGGCTCTGAAAGTTTTCAATTCACCATTTCTTTCTATTCTCCACAGGCAGGCTGACCAATGCCATGTAAAGAAGAAAAACAAAACAAAACAGATAAAACAATCCTTTCTCCTTACTTCTGTTGCTTTCCTTGCTTATTTAGGAAAACATCGTATTACTTTCTTATGCAAAGGCATTGATTGCACCAAGCACTCAAGTTCTATTATTTTTCTATTACGACTCCTTAATCTTTTCCAGTTCCTGCTTTCAAAGTCAGTATTCCATTCTGCTGATGAATTACCATACTTACATCTGCTCAGATCTAATGAACACTCCAGAACTGGAGGTCCATCACTGCTACTGAGAATACTTGTTTGAATTATCATTTAAGCAATCATACCCCTCCCTCATCCAGATGTTACAGAGCATAAAGGATAAGAAATCATTCCAAAGAAACCTGCACTGCAGTCATCATCAAAGTGAGTAAATAAAGGAGAGCTGATAGGACACCACACACTAGGCAAATCACTGTGATCTTCAAAGAGAAAGGTAAAGGATTTCTTTTTCTAAACATAGTTTTTCTTTGAGATTCAGAGGCCTTCATGTTAAATTCTGTATTTTTAGCTCCCAAATGACCATCTTGAGTTAAATTGCAGAAGTTTATTAGCATCAGAGTAAGAAAGCAATGATAGATAACTGTGATTCTTCTGTCCTTGTACAGTAATCAAAGAATCGTTTACTAATAGACTGACTTGCTCCCAAAAGCAGAAATCACACAGCTCCATCTTGTGGAAGATACGGTTCCCTGTGTTCACATCCTACATATGACTTGTACCTTTGTTATTGCTTTAGCTTTAGATGTTTTTACCTACAAGTTTTTGCCTAATACGGATATTTTTCTTTAACGTGTAAATTAAACATCATAATCAAGAGCAGGAGCAATCTGTCTAATATTTTTATTTACATTATTTTGTTTGTTTTCATTTGTTAGTAAGATTCTCCTAAACAGGTTCATACTTTAACAACTCACATTTGTACCAAGTGTTACCAACAGAATCAAGTGTCAGGTGCACATTCTGCACAAACAGGTGAAGAATTGGCTACTTTTTCTTTCTGTCCTCTTTCTTTGTCCCATAAAATGTAAAACTCCTTACAGAAGTGTCTTCTGCAAACTTAAATTACCACTAAAAATATTTGATTTTCAGTCTAGTTGTACTCCTTAGCAGGGAGCATTAGCAACTCAGTTTAGATGGCAAGAAAGCACAGGACAGCAGAGTTTGTCTCACTCCATGTAAATGTGTAATGTTTTTATAATCTAATATTATTAAAGTGAACCAACTCATAACAACTTTAACCTCAAATGAACAAGGTAACTTTTCACAAGATCAAGAAAAATGCCTTCCTGGACATGATTAAAGATTCTGGAGACAACTTTGGCAGTGATCCTTATTCCTTTGTTGCAGTCTCATTGTCCCTCTGAGAACTTGGGAAAGGACTGCACATCAGAAATAAGCACGTTATCATGTGCACTCCACAGATGCTGATTCTATTACTGTTGTGTTCCCAAGTGTAGCCTGTATCTTCCTACTTCCTCCACCCTCCTGTGATAAGATTGGCATTGCAGGGAGAGAGAGCTTTAAGTCTTCAGCAAACACAAGTTCATAGTTATCCTTCTCTTTGCAGTGGTGATTCTTTTGCCTGATGTGTTATAATATTTACCAATCTACTCTTCTGTCATTGAGGGAGTGTTTTATGGGAAATTAGAGAAAAGTAAGCATCAAACAAAAATTCCCACATTCAAACAAACACTTACTCTGCCCCATATATTCACTATTTTCTCCAGAGTCCACATTCAGGACAACTATTCACCAAGTTTTTCTTTTAAGTTTGTTCACCATACAGTATGTGCAGTGACCAGCTCACAACCATCACATTTTCAAGTAACAGCAAAAACGCAATTTTAACAGGCATAATCCAAATGTTGTGAAACTCTCTACTTAATATCAGCCAGTCAATATCAAGATGAACTACAAATTTACTACTAACTTGCTAAATAGAGGTTGACCAAATTGGAAATGAAAAATCTTAAATCATTCAACTATAAAGTCTACTGTGCCACTTCTGTCAACTTCTGTGCCATGCTATCAGGAAAAAATTCTTTCTTTTTTTTTTTTTTTTTTTTTTTTTACTTCTGGCTTTATAATATACATAGGGAAAGTTTACTAACGTCTTTGTGAACAGAGGTCTACACACCAAGATTCATGATGAAGAAGTGCCTTGGTCTTTAGCACATAAATCAGTGTAAAGACTGCTACATGTTTTGATGTTCGAAGCAATATTTGGTGTTTGGAGAGGAATGTATTTTCCATAAAAATTGCAGTCTAATGTAATATTTGTCTATCAGATTAACCCAGCCCCTATTCACTGAAGTTTTCTGAAAAAGCAGTGAGTAACATGACTCACGGGACTAGTTGCAAATGACTCTGGGAACATTTTTCCCATTAATTTACAATTGAAATGCGTGAGTGGTCAGGAATGACCACAAACATTCCCTCAAGTCTTCTAATTTAATTAAAAGGATAAATGATCACAAGTATTTTCATCTTTTTTAATTAGTTTTAAATTAATGTTCAGTGTGAGAGCCAGAATTCCTAAGAGTAAAAGTAAGGAATTGTGTACAGGAGCTTCTGCCGATGTGCCAGATCTGCAAGATGAACATCCATGAGCAGATTCATAAGATTGTAACATGCTCCATTTGAACAAAAGTGACTATTTTTCATTCACATTTTGTTATCCCCACAACAAAGCAAAAGATGTATAACACACACACAAATGCACACACAAAAACACTGCTTCAAATACAAATACAATAACCAAAACCAGCTGCTTATTAAAATATAGTTTTGGACTACAATAGCCTGAGGCTGTCTGAATCTACACATACAGGCAAAGAAATGCAATAGCCAAAAATCTTCTAAAAATCAGGCAGTCTCTGTTTTTAGAGAACATGCCAAGACATGAGAAAAAGAAAAGCAGAATGGCTTTGGTTCTTCCAAATGGTTCTTCCCCTGCAAAGTATATTCCACACCCCTTGTAAGACGATTCATCACCACTAAATTCGCCTTCCCTGCTGAGAAACATTTGGGCAGTCCTCTCTTGTGGTAGAAGTCAAAATAGCAACTCTCTAGATATGACTGAGAAAAAAATGCCTTATCTCTTCCACTAACACTTTTATTGTGTGAAATTTCAGGAATAGTATCAACTTGATTTCTCTTTATTCAATTTTGAAGTAGTTTTTGTTTCCCTGAGAAGTATCACTCTGAAACTCTAGAAATCAAAAACTACGGAAAGGATGAAGGAAAAAAAAAAAAGGAAAGGATTTGCCAAGGTTCATACCCCACCCCAATCTGTCAATGCTGACAAGAACCAGCTACCCCTGAACATGGGTGGATGCATTAGTTCATCCTCTCTATCCAATCAGTCCTTGGACCGTATTCCAGAATCTGCCAACAAGGCTGCCAATTAGTGCCAGTCACGATAGGCTCTTCTGTGATGTGGACATCTATTCAAGAGCAATCGGACCAATACTATCAAGCTGCTTTATATCTGCCTCTAAAGAACTTTTACAGGACTTTGTAGCTTGCACTTACTACCTAGATTAGCCAGGTTGAAATATAAATCCATAGATAGGGATAATAAACACTTCCACCCTAAAACAAGCTATATGGTGGAGTTTATAGTTGGAAGCACTCTTAGGCTTTGCAAGAAAGTGCCAAGAGAAAAGTCCCCTAGAAAGAGAAAGGAATTGTTCAATAGGGCTACAATTATTTAATTCCCCCAAAGCAGGTGATTAAATATTATGTTAATTTGGATAAATATTAAGAAGGTATTAAAGCAGTATTACCAGACAAATCAAACAACAAAAGAGGTGATAAATATTAGAGCTGCTACAAATAATACTTTTTAATTATACTCTGTGTTGTGTATGGTGTTTAGAAGGTAATTATGCACCGACTGCGGTTTCAGTCTGGCACATTTAATCAGTTGTAACCCTATGTATTTTGTTTTTTTAATTATTTTACTGCATACCGTTAAAATTCAAATGTTATCAAAACATGACATCAGAAACAATTTACTATTTCCTATTTTAGACTGAAAAAGATATGACTAAATGTTAACAATAAGGCAGGTCATTCTAGTTAAAAAAAAAAAAAAAAAAAGAAAGAAAGAAAGAAAGGGACAAAATATAGAAAAAACATACCTGAATCTGCTGTGTTTCCTAGTCATCCATTTATCTATTTCTTTTCCAATACATGTGTATTTGGCATTGAAAGTGTAATCCTGAACTCCCTGGTAATCTAGCTGGGAGATTTGGCTGCAAAAGGAATCAAACATCAGATTTAAGACTGAGAGAATTAAAAAGCAAAATGCCCAGAAGCCATGGCAGGTTACCAGTTTTAATATAAAGGCTCTTGTTTTATTATGCATGAATATGAATATGATTTTTTGGATCCTAAAGTACTTTAATCAATGTTCAAGGGTTTTTAAGAACCTCATTATATATCTCTTTTATAGGATTATGAACATTTGCAAATGGGGTCACAAAGTAACGCTTCAAAGGCTAAAAAGTTAGATCAAGAATATTTTCCAAACCTCTTTCAAAACATTTTAAATCACAGGCTCTGCCCAATGTACATTGCCACATCCAAAGTGTTAGCATTCCCTGTGAATTTTAGCTGTATCTTTTCTTTCTTACAGATCTTACTCTTCTCCCACCTCTTCCTGGGGTGGCTACATCTCCAAACTTTATCCAAAAAAAAGAAGTAAGACTTTCAATTAAATTAAACTAAAATAAAGCTAAAGAAACAAAAGTAAAACAACAAACACCAAAGCCTCTACATATATTAAAGACTGAACTGGTTGGTCTGATTTGACTTAGCAAGCAACAGACGGACAAGGATAAAAAATCATAGCTTGAGACTGGGCCTTTCTCTGGCAGTTTTGTAATTACCCATTCTGAGAAGCTTTCCTTTCATTAGGAAATTAGTAACACATGAACACAACTCCTAAATCCAGAAATAAAATGTTTGCTTGATTTAAAACGAAACTGTCCTGTTGAACAAAGAGTATTTATGCACCCTATTAAATACTGAAAAAAAAAAGAAAAGACTTTTTAGAAGTCAGAATCATCAAGACCAGACTTCTTCTTCTACATTCTGGAACTCTTTGTGGGAAAGACTGAAGGAAGTTGGGTTCTCTTAACATTAGCCTAGGTAACCTTCAATATAATCCACATTTCAGCCATTATACTATTGTTCAGCAACATTAAAAATAATTAAAAATATATTTGCTTAACTATGAAGAGAATAAGTGTGTAAAAACTTCAAGGTGTTTTAGTGTCATAAACAACCTTGAGTTCATGATGCTATAGAAAGAGGATTGCAAGAACTATCACTTCAAAAAATGATGCAAGAAAAAAAAAAGATTGTATGCGAAGCTTCTTTACAGTAAACCATGCTTTTACAATATTTATATATGTTCTTGGCTTCATATGCCCCAGGGTCACTATTAAAATTTACAACAATATGCATTTCCTTGTATTATGTATCAAAATAAAAGTCTCTGTGACAATATATGTGTTATCATAGATGTTTTTTATTTACATCAAATAAATCCTAGTCAACTACTGTTAAAAAAAAAAAAAAGGAAAAAAAAAAAAAAGCAAACTGCTATACCTAAACAAATAAAAATAAAATCTACAAAGCAATTTTAAAGATACAATTTTCAGTATTCTCTAAGAGAAAGGATAGGAGTAGGTGGCAACACAATATTGCAGCAATGTCCCAGATCCAGTTCTCTAAACACTGATATAAGCCTTCTCTTCAGAGACCGATATGAAGAAAAGTTTCCAAATGTAATTTTTCAGTCCTTTAACTGCACACATTCCAACAGATAAACTCCCTCTCATTGTTTATCACTTCCCAGTAAGAAAATACACAGAAATCTACGTACAACTGGAGGGTTCCAACATCTTTCTTTAAGCTAATGTGGCTGCTACGCTATAAAGAAGAAGCTGCCACTATGCGTATCTGGTAGCAGAATCTAGAATTCATCTCTTAGTTCTTGTCTAAAACGTCTGCTGAAAGCAGGTGCTCACATCCAAAAGTGCTGACAACCTGCAGCAGGGATTCTACAGAGATCTAAGACAATATTAGCTTCTCAAACTTCCAGGAAGAAAACTTTAAGAAAATCCACAGAAAGTTTAGTATACCTCTCCCAGAAATGTTTGAAAAAGTGTTCTTTTGAGTTCATTTCTTAATAAACGAATGGGGCAAGATTCTGCAGCAGCAGATCTGCCAGGAGGCAGGAAGCAATACAACAACTGATCCACTGAACTAAATTTGACGAAGTGTGAAAAATGTCAAGAGAGACATTTATTTGTGATGAAGAATTCGAATAGCTTCCATGCATGATACATGCTCTTCTGTTCTTGTTTCCCTAACTTCCCAGTGAACCACAGTGCTGAATTAATTGAACTGCCAACTTACGTGTGCTTTTCTTCTTAGTAAAATTCACTGCCCACAATTCACTGTTACTATATCACTACAGTATCATGTAGAAGATGATGCTTATATATCATGTATACATATACAACAGACATAAAGGAGAATTTTTTGTCACAACCCAGAAATCCCGTCAGTAGATCATTCAAAGGCAAAATGCAGCAGAGAATTGGATCAAATCTACTCATCAGTACTTGCTTTTTAATTTCTATATTACTATACACTATTTTATAATGCAGTAGAGTTCGAAGATCATACTGCCCTTGATCCTGTGCTGTAAGTCAGTGCACAAATACAGAGCCGAGCTTTACAGCTGCCACCTGCAAGCTACGGCACTTCTCACTCCATTGGGCTTGTTCTGAAGAACAGCAAAATGAAGCATGTCCACACATCTCAACCACCCTCGACCTCATTTGTGATAGATTTGCATGCAGACAACACCTTTTGAACTGAAATGGCTACAGCACACCTACATGCTGCACTGGGGTACACAGGTGGGGGAGGCAACAATAGTGTTTTTAAAATTGCCAAATTATTCACTATGTTTTGGGCAAACATAGCAAAGCCATGATTAAAACAGCCACTCTTGTTTAAAAAAAATAATAATCCCAGCAAATTCCCCTTGGAGCTCCTTAATAAAGTTTTAACATCCACCATCTATCTGGTAAACAACAGTCCTTGGAAAAACTGAGACAATGAGCAAGCAGTGCCATGAATATTCAAAGTTGTAATTGCTATGGAAACCATCTCCAGGAATTCAACCTTTAAGTATCAGAGGCACATCATGATACAATGACAGGAAAAGAAAATATAATACTGCCTAAGACTTCAAAGTTCAAAATGTAAGAGAAAATCAAAGCACCGTGTAGGAAAAGCCTTCGCCTTCTCCCATCTTCCCAGCTTTTTAGGGTGGATGTTAAGGTGGGTGAGCCATGCAGTATCCCTTTCTGCCTGGGCTTGCCAAACTGCCCCTACCAGTACTGCCAAAAAGGATGCTTCTTCTTCCTTAGTCAAATCATAATTGTAACCCACCTTTCCCAGTAGAACTGAAAAACCTGGTGTAACTCTATTCAAGCCCTGCTATTCATGTTCAAGCTTCCAGCAGGCTGATAACAGGGTCAGGTAGCAAGGACAAGGTGTCAGAGATCATCAGTGATGGCCTTGATTTCATTTATTTTATACGAAATTTCTCAGCTTATTCTACTGTATTTGTACCACATGAAGGTATTAATGAGTAGCCCACAATGTTTTGATCATTTCATCTTGCTTTCTTGCAGTATCCTGCCTGCTGACAAACTGGAGGTGATCCCACAACAGTTACGGTCTGCCTCAGCCCCTATTTCTGAGCGTCACTGCAACTCTTTTGATATTGATTCATTGAATAAAACTAGCAAATGCAATATGCATATAAATATTACTCTGAACAATGGTGAAAAGATGTTATTTCTGATGAACTAGCATTTATTCTTTTTAGGTAGAGAAATTATGTACCTAAAATTTATGTAAAGAAAGAATATCTTCCCAAGTGTTATTGCAGAAGTCTGCTGCATTTCAAACACTAACTACTCACTTTTCTTTATTAAGGTGTGTCTTATTACAGTCTTATAAAGCTGAACAATCCCACAAACAGTGGGATTTATTGAAGGTTTACAGTAATATGCTGTTTGCATTCTTGTTGATGCACAAACTTATGCTTTTAAAGAAGGGACTTTAGTAGTAAATTCTGCACACCCATATTTGTGCAATTATGATTTTTTTAATGACGTACATCCTTACTTATTTAAGGCCCACAGCTCTAGTTTAGATCCATGGCAGTATAAATTAATTTGCCTACCAGATGTTTTTTCAGGTTGGGATAGCAGGTCACTCCAGGAGGAACAAAGTTACATCTTCAGTTAACTTGTATCTGATGCCATGTCACATTCACTTTTTCAGCACACTTTAGTTTTGCCTTTCCTACCTTTATTTAGTTGGAGTGTTCTAAGTGCTAGCAACCAAAGAACACCTAGGAAATGCCTGATTTCCACACCGCTGTCAGTCACACATCCAGCAAGAGGTGAGCAAACAAGCACAGTTTGTCAAGCAAAGCACAATGCAAATTTGATGCTAGTGTTATTCTGGTAATCAGAAGACAAACAATAATTATTCTCACATAATGTCACTTGGTTTAGTATTAATCCACCAATTTTTTTCATGAATGTGAAGTGGCAGAACATTACAGATGATCGTGTCACATCATCACAGCATTTTGGATAGCGATTGTCCAACGTAAAGCCAGATTTCTCATACTGTCAAACCACATCCTGGGCTTTCAGAATAAAAACTGACCAAAACATAAAGCAAGTTACAATTAATCACACTTCTGTATAAACCAAAATAATGGTTGCTTCTTAAAATTACTTTGGAAAAAAAATGTATTTGTTTCTAAAGTACAAAAATTGTAACACCAGTATAGCAAGGATATTGATTTTGCTTTTCTAAAACCCTTCCCTGGGATATCATCATCAAATTTTGTTGACTAATCTGAACAAATATCAGTATTGCTCAAAATGTCCAAAAGAAAAGAAACATGTAGTGTTTATTCTTGATAGAATAATAGAATAAAAAAGAAAAGTAAACTTTTGGGTCTACCACAGAGCCAATTAGATTAATAAATATACCTTTACTGTCCAAACAAATAAATACATTTAAGCAAGGCTCCTACAAAATGGAAAAGTAAAAGAAGAAGAAAAAATAAAAAGGTAAGAGCAAAGCAATCATAGGAAATGCATAGGAAAGACAGACTGGGATTACAGCATGCAGTTGTGGGATG